GTGGGGAGACAGGAAAGTGGGGAGCACATGCAAACCCGAACCACATGTTTGTCCTCTGGGAGCCTACTTAAATACCCTGTCGGAGTGATCCTGACTCTTCCCTAGGGAGGGGTCAGGACCTGGCATTCTGGGATTTGGAGTCCAGAACAATATACTCCCAGGCCAGGGGGCTGGGGTGGATGCCAGGGGCTGGGGCTATGCTCCAGACTTAACAGATGGCACCCTGTATCTCTGAGCAGGGATCAGCATGTAGGGATTCAGTGAGTTAGTTTTGTTTTATATTTACTGAAACAGCATCTCAGTGTGTAGACCAGGCTGGCTTTGAACTCTCTGAGATCTTCCTGCCTCTGCCTCCTGTGTGCTGGGATTAAAGACGTGCGCCACCATGCTTGGCCAGTAAATTATTTTAAAAAAGGAAAAAAGCCCAGGCAGTGGCATTGCATGCCTTTAATCCCAGCACTTGGGAGGCGGGGGTGGGGGGGGGTGTCACAGAAAGAGTTGGAGATAGGGATCAGGGTGAGGGGTTGGAGGTGTGGGGATAATCTAGATGCATTATGCTCATGTATGAAATTACCAAATAATTTCTCTAAAACCACACATAGATCTGACAGATCTTCCTCTACTGACCATGTGCCCTGAAGGCTGAAACCAGGGTCTTTTTACAAAGAAAGATCTCTAGCTGGGCAGTGGTGGTGGTGCACACCTTTAATCCCAGTACTCCGGAGGCAGAGAAGGGCGAATCTTGTGAGTTCAAGGCCAGCCTGGTCTACAGAGCAAATTCCAGGACGTCTAGAGAGACCCTATCTCAAAAACAAAACAAAACAAAAAAACCCCAAAAATCCAAAAAGAAAGACTTTGCCTGCCATTTTCTTTGCAGTGCAGCTCTGTCATATGAAAAGTTTAGTTATAACCATTCAAGCATGAGCTTTGGGAGATGCTAATGTACTGAACCATTTACCCCTACTGACAGTTACCAAGAGGAGTTTTCTGGGCCAAACCTAAGTCTCTCCCGAGATAGCCTGTATCAGTGGCCCCTGTCTGTCTTTGTGAGCCTGAGTTTGCCTACCTGCTACAATCTGGTTCTTAATTGTTTGATTAATTCAAGACATTATCTTGCTACCTATGTAGCCTAGGCCAACCTTAAGCTTGCAATCCTCCTGCCTCAGTCTCTGAGGGCTGGGTCACAGGCTGTCTTAGCACCCTGACCTGCCGCTTTGGTCTAGGTAGGAAGGTCTGGGCAGGTTCTGGCTGGTTCCCGGCTGCCCACAGGGTGGGTCTTACACTCCTCCAGTACACTGCTCCACAGGCTCACAGCTGCCTCCTCCTTCCAGGTGTGCTCATGTACCGGGACTACCCTCTGGAGCTGTTCATGGCCCAGTGCTATGGCAACGTGAGTGACCCAGGCAAGGGGCGCCAGATGCCCGTTCACTATGGCTGCAAGGAGCGCCACTTTGTCACCATCTCCTCTCCACTAGCCACGCAGATCCCTCAGGGTGAGGACATATGCCCATCCATGCAATACTTATGACATACCTCTCTGTGTGGGCCCAGGCCTTCGCTAGCCTACTAGTTGGGTGCTGTCCTTAGAGCCTAGCCTTTGTCAAGGGCTTTCAAGGAACCTCTCAGAGGAGGGCTCCATGGTGTTCCATCCCGTCCAGCAGCCCTAAGTCATCATGGCTACACTGGACTTCCCAGACTCGGGCCGTTCCATCTGATCCTCCTCCTCTCCAAGCCAGCAGGACCAGGAACCTCATTGTCACACTCAGATTGTCTCATGACAGTTGCTGTGGGGGTAAATGCTAGCATGGATTACCATGGCTGTGACAAAGAACAGGAAATTGAAAGTGAAGAAGAAAGTGGCTTGCTAGGGTCTTGTGGTAGGGAGGAGGACAGGAACTCACTCATGGGTTCTTATGACTACAGAACCCAGGTTCTACCCTGCCCTGGCTAACCTAGGTTCTCAGAGCCAGGTAGATTCCCCAGAGCATGCTGTAGGTGCCCTGAGGCTTCTGGCATACTACAGAGACTGCCAGGATGCCCGGCCTGTGCCCATACAACACACAGATGGAGGATTATCTCTCTTGGTGGTCCCCTGGGCCCAGAGTCTGGGAGGTGTGTGTCATAGTAGCTATGTGGCTTGTGAGTCTGCAGGCCTCCTGGGAGAGGTGGGTGGCAGGGCCCTCTCTGAACTGGCCTTATCTTCTATTATGGCTCCCTGGAGTCCCTCAGTCAGCAGATATAGGGAATGGCTTCCATGTGCCAAGTGTCACCCTAGACTTTCTGAACAAGAGAGACAAATGGCAGCCCTGTTGATGCTAATGTTGGGTTGGAGAACGGTAGAAGAGAGTGAAGAGGCAGTACCTAGAATGCTTCATGTAGGTGACAGGACAGAGCAGTGTCAGCTGGGGGCAGTGGCAGAGGCACCATAGTGATTTAATGATAGGCTAGAAGCAGTGTGGAAGGAGCTGTGTGGGTTCTTGGAGGCAGTCATGTGTTTAGTTATGACCAGATCAGGGGGCTTAGAGGAGGGGATACAGAGCAGGTAGGGCCTAGTGGCCTTTGCTTATTGCAGGGACTTTGGCCCATAGTGGCATGAGAGCCCAGAGTTAGGCAAGAGTCTGCCAGATTCACACTGTAAGAGACCCTCAGCTGTCCCTTGGATGACAGATCAAGGGGCAGTGGACTGCTTAGTAACTAGGATATGAGGTGCTGGTGCCTGTCTTCGGTGGGCAAGGTTCAGATCTGCCAGTCCCTTTGAAGATGGGGGAGATGCAAGCATGGCAGATGGGAGTCGGGGGTGATGCACATTTTGCCTTGTGCAAATGGAGGGATGGTACTCTAGTCAGCGGAGAGGGAGAAGGCTGTGGTGTGCAGGCCTTTGGTATCTGGTGACAAGTTTCCCAAGCCTAGAGTTGTGTGACTGCGTGTGTGCGCGAGTACATCTCTGTGTGGCTGCTTATTCCTATTTGTGTCCTATCATCCATGTTTCCATGCAGCGGTGGGGGCAGCCTATGCTGCCAAGCGGGCCAATGCCAACCGGATTGTGATCTGTTACTTTGGCGAGGGGGCAGCCAGTGAAGGGGATGCCCATGCCGGCTTCAACTTTGCAGCCACCTTGGAATGTCCTATCATCTTCTTCTGCCGGAACAATGGCTATGCCATTTCCACACCAACCTCTGAGCAGTACCGTGGGGACGGCATCGGTAAGGGCCCTGCTCCCACCCGCTTTCCTCCTGTTTTTTTTTTTTTTTTTTTTTTTTGTGGTGTCTGATGGAGAGGGTACAGGAGGCAGTGAATGAGCACACTTTGTTCTCCTTCCCTCCTCCCCGAGGCCTGACTGGAACCCTCTTTGTCCCTGCAGCGGCTCGGGGCCCTGGGTATGGCATCCTGTCAATCCGTGTGGACGGCAACGACGTGTTTGCAGTGTACAATGCCACTAGGGAGGCCCGGCGGCGGGCTGTGGCTGAGAACCAGCCCTTCCTCATTGAGGCCATGACCTACAGGTGCCTGCCTGTCTCACCTCCATCACTGCAGCCCACAGCTCTGACCAGCCCCCTCTGTCAGTGCCCCCAAACACTGCCTTGTCACCCCGTATTGCGTTCCCCTCCTTGCTTTACATCACTGCTCTGTTCTTTTCTGGCCCCCACTCCCAGCTGATTCATGTCTCCTCCTCTGAGCAGGATTGGACACCACAGTACCAGTGATGACAGCTCAGCATACCGTTCAGTGGACGAGGTCAATTACTGGGACAAGCAGGACCACCCGATCTCGAGGCTGAGGCAGTATCTGCTGAACCAGGGCTGGTGGGATGAGGAGCAGGAGAAGACCTGGCGGAAGCAGTCACGAAAGAAGGTGAGGGCCCCCTGGAGTCCCTAGTTGTGTGCTTCACTGGCTCCTGCACAGGGAGAACTCGGGGAGAATGGGAGTGCAGGACCTGGGTGCTCGCATTGACCCAGGCAAACTAGTCCCCATAAATGGCCCCTGGAGCCAAGCTGCCTGGACCGTATGGCCTCAGTGAGTCTTCAGAACACAGGGCAGGTTTCCTCATCTCTAAGTTCCCGGGGTATTTGCTTCATAACTCAGTCCTTGTGACGTGGGGGAGCCTCACCTGAGCTGTAGCTGGAGCTAGTGTCCATCCTTTGCGGGCTAAGGGCAGGATGGTCTAGCCTCAGGCTGCACTGTGGGTACTGGCTCAGCCCTGACTGCATGGTCCTGAGGAGTCCTTCCTGCCTGTGCACCCTGAGCCTCTACTCCTGTTCCCTCCATTGTAGTTCCAGGTCCCCTGCAGTCCAGAACTGGGGTTCTGGAGAGTTAGCTAATCCTAGGCTGAGGCCTCAAAGGGGAGTGGTTGGACCTTGGAGGAGGGCAGGGAGAAGGGGACAGCCACTTCTTACCCTCTTGTGTCTCCCAGGTGATGGAGGCCTTTGAACAGGCCGAGCGGAAGCTAAAGCCCAACCCAAACCTGCTGTTCTCTGACGTGTACCAGGAGATGCCCGCCCAGCTCCGCAGACAACAGGAGTCACTGGCACGACATCTGCAGACCTATGGGGAGCATTACCCCCTGGACCACTTTGACAAGTGAGGCCCTAGCCACCCTAACGTGTTCCTGCTCTGAGTAGAGCGTGGTGTTCCTCCAGTCAGTGCTGCTAACATGCTCAGTGGCCAGGGTGGCACTCCAAACTGTCATGGGGTGACTCCCACTCCCCATTCCTGCTCCTTCAGGCTACTTCACTGGGGCACAGTGTTTGCAGCTATTGCTGAGGCTCCGTCACCCCCCTCACCTGTTACAGTGCCTTTTTGGGGTAGGACCCAGGCCAGGGAAGACCCCCTGGGCAGGTGGCCCCGGATCTTGCCCAGAGTATGAGCTGGTCAGCAGGGTGAATAAACCAAGGGCTCTGCCGTTGACCCTCTGCTTTCCCTGCTCTCTGTTTCCTCAAGTTTGGGGGCTGGTGTGTGTGTGCGAGGAGGCATGTGGAGTTGGGGGGAGAGACCAGCATGGCTGATTTGTTTGCAGGGAGGGGGGTGTTAATTTTTGTTACAGGATCTCAACGTGTAGCCCAGGTTGGACTGGAATTTGTGATCTTCCCGTTTCACCCTCTGAGTTCTGGGATTATAGGATGACCACCACACCAGTCTTTGGGGATAGCTTAGACCGCCACACCAGCCTTTGGGGATAGCCTAGACCACCACACCAGCCTTTGGGGATAGCCTAGACCACCACACCAGCCTTTGGGGATAGCCTAGACCACCATACCAGCCTTTGGGGATAGCCTAGACCACCATACCAGCCTTTGGGGATAGCCTAGACTGCCACACCAGTCTTTGGGGATAGCCTGGACCACCACACCAGCCTTTGGGGATAGCCTGGCTTTAGGCAGAAAAAACTAAAGGCTTTTCTCCACTTATAGATCCCTACTTCTATAAACTTTCCCAAGCTGGAAGGCAGCTTTGGTACATGTGTCCTCCAGAGCTCGCTCATAGCCTGGTACAAGATTGCTGTCTAGCAAAGTGTCTGTGTGAAGGTTTAGGGTGCAACAACATCTGCCTTCCCTGCAGGGGTCCCACATATGAAAAAAAACAACTCCTAGCCTCATTGTAGGGAGGACATCATTGTCAAATTTGAAAGTAGGTGAGCGCAGTTTGCCATCTTATCTGGCCTGTCCAGTTCTTGACTGGGAAGGGGTTAGAAGGGTCTTAGGACAGCTCATCATCCCCACCCCCACTCTAGCTTGTCTCTGAGGCTCAGCACTGGAGCTCTGGACCCCACAGGTGTTTCCAGAGCCTAATAGTGTCCTGGGGGCTGACTGGATGCACCAGCAGCAAGCCTCGTATTGTGCAGGGGTCCCTGGTGCGATCTGCTGGCCAGGCTGTGAGGAATCCTGGATGGGCACGGGGCACTAAGCCCAGGGCACGGAAGCAGAAGCCAGTGTAGACATCATCAAAGGGGAAAGGCACCACACGGGCTGCTGCCTGCAGCAGCCAGGGGGCCAGGCGTCCTGAGATGACATAACCACCTCCACTTGCGTAGGCTGGGTAGTCACCTTCAAAGAAGGTCCTCGGCACATAGAAAGGGCCAGGCTTGCGGAGTGGCTTGGCCTGGGTGAAGACCTCACCCAGGTAGAGGCTATGGGCCCAGGTGGGTGGTAGGGTCTGCAGGTGCTCCAGCAGGGCAGGGATATGCACGAAGGCGTCGTCCTGAACCTGCAGAACAAAATTCACATTGGGGCAGTGGTGGCTCAGCCAGGTCAGCAGCAGCAGGTCTTTGAGTGTCCGGTTGTAGGGAACGTCCAGGAAGTCCCAGAGCAGCAAGTCACCGTAGTGCTGGCTCTCCCATGTCACCAGTGATCTTAGGTCAGGCCCGCCCATTCCTAGTGGGGACCCCAGCAGGAAGAGCAACCGGGTCCCAGCGACTGCACTGCCCCAGGTCTCCCTCACAGCCTGGCGTGCTGCAAAGTGTCCTGGCTCAGACTTGACGGCCAGGAGCAGGTAGGGGACATCTTTATCAGAGCAGCTGGCCACTGGGCTGCCTCCCTCTGTAGGCAACCATAGAGGGAAGCTCCTACAAGCTGCTGACAGCAAGAAGCGCTGAAAGTCCTGGGGGTACAACAAGAAGTCCAAGATCTCCGAGGCTGCAACAGTCCCCCAAGTCTGGCAGTTCGTACTGGGCAGAACTCCCAGGTTCCGCTGCTTCTGGTTCCAGTAAGCCAAGGACAGTGGACCAATCTGACCCAGGCGTGCTGAGAGGTTCATGGGCAGGGTGGGCACAGCATTGTGTGATGTGGGACTGAGCAGGGTGCCCCGGGGTTCAGCCTTGTTAAACCAGGACTCGGATGTCCATTCGATGTACACTTTGAGGCCCAGGAGTGTGAGCAGTGCTGACAGGCAGAGCTGGCACTTGCGGCAACGCATGACCCGGCCCAGGAAAAGGGCCACCAGTGGTGCTGCAAGAGTCACAAGGAGTCACAGAGGGTGCAGCGTGGACCTCCAAAGAGGGCCCAGCCGAGCCCAGACAAGCAACCTAGGGCTTACCCCGACCCAGCCAGCTGGTAATGGCTTCAAAGACCCTGACCCTAGGCAGCCTGGCTTATAGTCCCTAATTGTCACATTACCTTAGACTGAGCTCCACACCCACATCCTATTTTTTCCCTTTCCTGGAGTCAAGGTGTTGATGTATTTGCGGCATCGCTTCAACGCCATTCCTATCTCCTTTCCTCCACTCTTCTGTCTCTTTTAGGAGTCCCAGCTCCCCGGGGAAACCCCTTTTACCTTCTTGGAAACCTACCTAACTCCTCTAGTAACCCCACCCCAGGGCCCGCCCCGGGTACCTCTGGGTTCGGCTTCCGCCAGCTCTGGGGGGGTCCTTGGGTCAAGCCCTGCCGGGACTCCCAGCTTGCAGCTGTGTGTCCTCCGGCTGCCGGCCCAGCCCTGGAGTCTGGAGGGGCGGGTGAGCCGGGAGGAGGCGGGAGGGGCCCCTGGGGCCGGGAGGAGTCAGGGCGGGGCTGGAGGGGAGGCAGACGGGGAGACGCGCTCTGGCGAGTTAGGGCTGGTTTCCTGGTGAGACGTCAGGAAAGGTGCAGGGATGGTCAAATCGTGGACCCGGACCGCGGACTGCGAGGGCCTGGAATTTCTGGGCCCCAAAGAGAAAAGAGAAGGGAGGCCAAGGGATTGGTTCGAGGTCACCGCCAGGTGTGTGTGTAGGGGCCGCGAGGCAATTAGAAGAGAAGGGTGAGGCAGAAAAGAGACAGACCACAGATGGCCGGGGTCAGAACAGAGCCTAACTAACCAGAGAAGAGTCAGAGGAGCCCGGGAGGACCCAAAGAAGAAAGGAAGGGCCAGGGAGAAGCGTAAGCAAGGAAAGCAATAAAGGATGGTAAAGTGAGGTGCACTGAGAGCCCCCAGCTAGGGGCCTGCACCTCCTCCAACTTGTACTTGAGCCACTACCAGCCTTCCACCTTCATTCAGATGGTAGGCGCCCCGCCCTGTGATGCTCTGGGCTTTATGCCCCACCCCTGGGGCAGGAGGGTTTCTGACTGTGTTTACATCTCTGCCCTAGGGCCTCTGTAGTTGAAGCTGTGCCAGCAAGTCTGGGGAGGCCAGCAAGGTGGGGCCTTCCCAGATCTCCAGGGACCTAGGTTGAGAGGAAGCCTGCTCCCCACCTCCCAAGCCCAGGCTGACCTCTTGCAGCCTACCTGGTTTGGTGGACTGTCTAGATATAACAGGAACCAGTGTACTAGCACCCGAGTCTGTTATCAGTCCAGCCCTGATTTCCTCCCTCCAAGTTTGAAGAATGGATCCCATGGGAACAGATGGAGGAAATGGTGAGTGCTAATGGGATAAGAGCTCCAGTAGGGAAGATAGCCAACGGCCAGGCGGGGTCAAGCCCACCGCCTTGGGAGAGGCTGGATAAGGCCTCTCGGTTCTCCTGGCTCATCTCCCTCTATGGCACTGAGGCTCTGTGACTGGCATCCTCCTCCTGGGGCCTACAGTCCAGCGGAAAGCAAGCAATGCTGGGCCAAATCTGACAGGTGTGCAGCCTAGGTCCAATTGGGAAATCCATACAGCTGCTGCAACCAGCAGAGCTCAGTAGAAAGCCGCTATTAACAAAGAACCTAGGATTGAGTAACAAAGGGTCAGAGGCAGAAGATTACTTTTAGGGACCATGGTTTGGAACATTTTCACTATCTGCTCCCATCTAGTTTTTGGCTACTTTTGGGTCCATGTTCCAATCAGCCAAACAACCAGCCAGACCACTTCTGTGGCACAGAGTAACTTATTAGATCCAAAAAGCACACCTGTTCAACAGATTTGGCCCAACTGTCCTCACCACACACTCTACACACTTTCAGGTTTTTACCTATATACATTTCAAATTCTTTTTCTTCCATATATGGGAGTTTTGCCTGCCTATATGTCTCTGATCAGTTGCATGCCTGGTGCCTCTGGAGGCAAGAAGAGGGCATCAGATCCTCTTGAACTGGAGTTAGACAGCTGTGAACTGCCATGTGACTGCTAGCAATCAAATGTGGGCCCTCTGCAAGAGCAGTCGATGCTCTTAACCACTCAGCCATCTGCCAGCCCTTCTCTTTTGTATCCCTTGTGATCCTTTGGCTTCAGCTTCCCTGGTGCAGGAACGCTGGTTTGGGGGAAGTACTGAGTATTGAACCTAGGGCCTTGTGCATGCTACCACTGGGCAGTACTACCCCAGCTTAGAGTCAGTCGGGGCCCAGTTAGGTCTGCCTCCCTCTGGAGGAAGTGGATCTGATCCTAGAGTTTATGGCTTTGTTAGCAGTAGAGGACACTCTTGACTCTCTTTTTATTAATTAACTTTGAGATAGAGTCTCACACTGTAGCTCTGGTGGGTCTGGAACTTGCTATGTAGACAAATTTGTCTGCCTTCTGCCTCCTGAGTGCTTTCTGAAGTCTTAAGAATAATGAACACATGGGGCTGGAGGGATAGCTCAGTAGTTAAGAGCAATTATTGCTTTTGCAGAGAACCCAGGTTTTAATTCCCAGCACCTACACAGGAGCTCACAACTACCTATAACTCCAATTTCTAGGGATCCAATGCCGGCTTCTGGCTACTATGGGGACTGCATACACATGGTGACTTAACATTTATGCACATAAATAAATCTTTAAAGAATAGTGGGCATCCAGGGCCCAGGTGAGGTCATCACCAGATGATTCTGTTGGCTCCTTGGTATTGGCAAAAGAGCCTTGAAGTGGCTGGGTGCGGGGGTCAAGTCCTGATGACTCTTGAGTCCACCCCATTCCAAGAATGAAGTTCTGGGGCTGTCATTGAGCTCTGAAGTTCTCAGACTGGCTCTACACACACCCTCTGAGGACTCAAGAGCGCTCCAAAAAATCCCAGCACCCAAACCATCTTTGTGGCCACTGCTGTCAGCACAGGAGCCATGGGTACATATTGCAGTTGGCAGCTTATTGGCATCCACCACAGGTCATCTGAGATGCCCTACAGGGCACACATGCCAGAATCTCTAGCATCCCCCCCCCTTTTTTTTTTCCAACTTGGAGCTTCTGTGCTCACGCCCAAAGTTCCAGCTCCCCCTCTTTTGTTTTGCTTTGTTTTTTTGAGACAGGGTTTCACTGTAGATTTTGGAGCCTGTCCTGGAACTAGCTCTTGTAGACCAGGTTGGCCTCGAACTCACAGAGATCCGCCTGCCTCTGCCTCCCGAGTGCTGGGATTAAAGGCGTGCACCACTACCGCCAGCTTAATTTTGAACCTTTAGAACTATCCATCTGGATCCAGTTGGGAGGAAAAGCCACAAAGTAATGCGAACAGGGACGTTTAATATAAAGAATCATACATTTGCACGGTGTATTGGGAGTCGTGACAGTCACTGGTAACATGGGTACCAGGAGTCATTCAGTCAATAGGGTTCCTGGGGAACCACTGTACACTTCAAGCTCCAGGCAGTCCTGACCTTTCTGTTGGGTTCTTTCCAGCGCCCTCTACTGATGAAATCTGTTGTGCCGGATGAAGGGACCATTTTCCCAAGGGCTAGGATCCATTTTCACAGAACAGGAAAACCCCACATTTGAAGTACAAGTCAGTAAATCGTTCCAATTTTAGTATGTGTGCTGCTAAAGCGAGCATGCAAGCCTGTAAATCCATGGGCGATGCCATGGGGCTTGGGGTGCTGCTGGCCTTTAATGAATGTGGCCAAGAATGCTCCACCTGTGGAGTTGATGCACACTGCACAAGGAGGAACCACCACTGTAAAGAACCAACAGCCTCTCATGTTGGCCACAGTCCTGCTGACATGTATGTGGACAGTTTGGGGGAATGCTCTTGGTGAGCAGGGATAATGAGAAACCGTGGCGCTGTGAGCAGCTGTCCATGGAGGGCTGTCAGCCATGGTGACAGCTGTTTGACAGCTGCAGGCAAACACCAGTCAGCACCCTGACTCAGCCTTCTTATTTGCCAATGCTCCTTTGGGTTGAATGGACCTCACTGGAAGCCAGAGTGAGAAAACATCACACTCCACAGAGCCCCACAAGATCCTGCAAGAGTGGGGCCACAGGCTAGGGAGAGACTGCTGGTGTGTTCTGAGGCTGCTGGTCTGGCTCCAGCTTCAGGCCCTGGGCCCAGTCAGTGCCAAGGACCTCACAATGGGGCAACATTTCTTCTACCAGGATCTGAGTGAGGCCTGGGTGGGACACGGCAGGGAGGTCTGAGATGTCCAGCCTGCGGAGACTCCTGAAGGGTGAGAAGGACGGCTATGAGAGCGGCATCTGTGTGCGACTGTAAGAAGAGGGTGGGTTTGACCCTAATTTCAACTAATAGTTTCTCTTTTTATTCTTTGTGGGTGTGTGTGCGTGGATGGATGGATCCCAGGGCTTCACACATTCTGCTGCTGACCCACACCCCTAGCCCCTTACTGGTACATTCTAAGCAAACACTCTAGCTCTGACATGCTCCCAGCCCCTCACTGAGGGACTCTAGACAGGGGCTCCACCACTGAGCCACATACTGGGGGACTCTACACAACTATTATCACTGACCCACACCCGTAGCCCTCCAGTAAAACTCTACAGCTATCTAAATATGTGAGATTTACTGCTCTCCCCAACAGTGTGACTGCCACAGAGTTTCTGTCCGTATACAAAGGAAGCAAGCCTGGGAGTCAGTTCTTTCTCAAGACACAGAATGCTCAGTTACGCTCACCTACCACAGGTTAGTACCTGTGATCACGACAGGGAGGGTACAGACAGATGGCTAGCAGCACCCAGAACCCCCTCCTGGCTCTGCTGGCATAGGGTCGGTCTGGGCCGAGATCTTACTGGAGGTGGTGGAGGCAGGCAAGGCCCCGTTCTGAGACTTGGGGGCACCCGGCCAGCGAGAGCTCCTGCAGCGAGTCAGCCAGAAGGTAGAGACGGCTAAGGCACCAGTCATCCACATTGGGGCAGCGCTGCAGCGACAGGAACCGCAGCTCCTTCAAGGGCACTGCTGGATGAGAAGGTGGGTGGCACCAGGGGCCTTTCTGGAGCCCAACACCAAAGGGGAATCCACTCCCCTGGCCTACTCACGGAGGTTGCTCATGCCCTGGTAGTTGATGGCACAGCCACTGGCATCCACAGCCTCCACAGGAACCTTCCGGAACTCCAGGAACTCAGTAGGAAAATGGCCATGCTCATTTGGACGGATCCACTCCTTGTCCTGAAACCTAGAATGAAGAGTAGGGAGATGACATTTCCTGGCTTCCCAAGTGTGGCCACCCTAGCAATGGTGGCAGGTCGGCACCCTCCTCACTCCATCACACAGGACACCAGAAGCCCAGATACTGTCCAGCGTCAGAGCCAGGAACTGAGCTGGGCATGGCTGCATGTCTAGAAGCCCAGCATTTGGGAGGCTGAGACCAGAGCATTGGGAATTCAGGGTCAGCCTGGGCTACAGAGTGAGACACCCCCGCCTCCCAGCATACATTTATTGAAGGAAAGAGCTACATGTGTGAGTCCCTGCTGACAGCTATTTTCAGACACACATCTCATTCTAAGGAGTCGGCAGAAGTCCTCAGGCCAGGTAGGAGTACATAAAGTCTATAGAAACTGAGCATTTTTCCAGAAGGAAGAAAAGAAAACATCCAGGGGGGCTGACAAGAGATGGTTTAGTGGGTGAGGCTGCCTGCTGCCAAGTCTGACAGCCAGTTAGTTCCTCAGGGCCCCCATGGTGAAAGGAGAACTCACTTCTTTAAGTTGTCCTTTGACTGCCACATACACACAGTGGCAAAAGAACACCCTCATATACTAAATAAGTAAATGTTAAAAACATATATATTTAAAACTGGGCGGTGGTGGTGCCTTTGATCCCAGCACGAGGGAGGCTGAGCCCTCTGAGCTCAAGGTCTACGAAGCGAGTTGCAGGACAGCCAGAGCTGTTATAGAGAAACCCTGTCTTGAAAAACAAACACAAAAAATAAAAACAAAATAACCCCCTATATATGGTTTTTTATATATACATTTTTTAAAAGGGGAAAAAGGAGCATAAAGACCTTTTTTGCTGTTTGCTTTTTGAGGGAGGGTCTTGGGTCTCACTATGTAGCCCATATTGGCCTACAATTTCTAACTCTTCAGCTTCAACCTTCAAAGCTGGGATCTCAAGGATATGCCACCATGCCCAGCTAGGAGATCCACTCAGTCTGCCCTCCTCTACCTCCCCAGAGCTGGGGTCAGAGGAGTGTGACACCTCACCAGGCAAAAAAACACTTTTTTGAGGTGGGGTTTTGCTCTATAGCCCAGGCTGAACTCGTCAAGAGTAGCCGGGAGCAAGGATTTGCACATCACCCAGCTGCCTGGTGTGACTGAGCACTGAGACATTCCACTTCATGACAGCTGTTTAGACTGAAATCCCAGTCTTGAAAGCAAACCCTGTATTAGTAATGCCACACATAATTCTTTTACTTATTTATGGTGTTTCTGAGACAGTCACACTATATATATATTCTGGCTGTCATAAGACTTACTCTGTAGACCAGATTGGCCTCTGAACTCACAGAGACCCACCTGCCTCTGTCTCCCAAGTGCTGGGACTAAAGATATGTGCCACCATGTGTAGCTATATCTAATTTTTAAATTATTTTTTAAAGGAAGAAGTCTTAAGATATAGCCATGACTGGCCTAGAACTCATAGAGACCCACCCTTCTTTGCCTCCATGTGCTGGGATCAAAGGGCTGGCTGTTAATTTAAAATTTGTGTGTATTTGTATGTCTTTGTGTGTGTGTCTACAAGTGTGCAGGCATGTAAGCCAGTGATGTCGGTCATTGCCATCAGTTGCTTTTCTACTACATGTTTTGAGACAGAACCACTCACCTAGAGCTTGCTAGTCAGGCTAGGTGGCTGGCCAGCCAGAGAGCCTCAGGGATTGTCCTGCCTTTACCCCCTTGGCAGTGGGATCAGGGTGTACCCCACATGCCTGACTTTTACAGGGGCGCTAGACTCATATCCTCATGCATATGTAATAAGCACTTTACCAGCTGAGCCTTCGCCTCAGCTCTGTATGCCAGCTCATTTTATAAATGACAAACTCGAGTCCAGGAACAAGTCCCCTGGTACACAGCTGTTAAGACAGCAGAGATGCTCCACCCTCCCACATCCTCTCATGACAGCTGTCGTACTTCACTGCGCCTCCCTGCTTCAGGATGAAGAGGGCACCTGTGACATATGGGCCATATTTCTCCTGGATGTCAGCGAAGGATCTGTGGAGAAAATGAGAGCAAAGGTGAAGCCTGGGGCCTCTCACTATGTGCCAGTTCTATGAGGGAAGACTACAGGGCAGCAGGCAAGTATTGACTAGCTTGCTGCAAACCTGAGTGCCTATTCAGTGCCATGTACTGGGATCACAGTGGACAAAGCACATCACTGTCTGGTAGTGGGGGAGAGATAACAAAGCAAGAAGTAACTGCGAATCGCAGAAAAGCAGTTCTGAGAAGAAGACAAATCGGGGGCAGCCTGAGAGTGGAGACTCATGTTAAAAATCATTTCTTGGTCAGGTACAGCACACACAGGAGGTAGAAGCAGGAGGATCAGGGCTCAAATCTAGCCAGGCTGAGCTATGAGAACCTCCCTCAATAACAAAACAAATCAAACAAAAAATGAAGCTGGAGATGGCTCAGCTCAGTTGAGGGCACTTGCTGCTCTTGCACAGTATTCAGCTGGATTCCCAGCACCCCACATCCAGTGGCTCAGAACTGCCTGAACTACAGCTCCAGAGAGCAGGGTAAAAGCGAGCAGTAAGAGAATGGATGTGGTAACTGTGATGGTTTGAATGAGAATGACTCCCATAGGCACATGTCTGAATGCTTGGTCCCCAGTTGGCAGAACTGTTTGGAAAGAATTAGGAGGTGTGGCCTTCTTAGAGGAAGTGTGTCACTGAGGGTGGGCTTTGAGGTTTCAAAATCTCATGCCAGGCCCAGTATCATGCTCTTTTTTTGGGCTTGCAACCTGTGGAGCTACTGCTCCAGTGCCAGGCCAGCCTGCCACCATGCTCCCCCATCATGATGGTCATGGACTAACCCTTTGGAACTGGGAGCAAGCCCCCATTTAAATGCTTTCTTTTAAAAGCTGCCTTGGCCATGATTTTTCTTCATAGCAATTGAACAGTGACCAAAATACTAACCTTAAAATGAAAGGTTAT